GAAAGGTCATTTCGCCTGTCGAGCCCAGACAATAGACCGAAAGAAGGCCTGGGCTGAATGGACGATTGATTGTAGCTGGCAACTGCTTACGCCATGTAAATTTTAATGTCAGAAGTGCTTATCCAGTACCAATTTTCTTTGTGCGAGAACATAAAGGGCCATGTGGATCCAGAAAGCCTTCTTTTCTAGAAAAGCGCTCCCCATTGACCTCCACTGGTTGGATCGGCAGTTACGATGAAAGGTCCTGCGAAGCTGCCCAGGCATCGGATGCCAGCGGATACCCAGGGGCATGCAGGTGCACGGGTCCCCGAAACATGCCCAAACGCCCCCTCTGCACTCAACGCCAGACCAACGCCACTGGAAGTGTAGCGGGTCCTCCAAGGCCCATCCGTCCCCACAAAGTGCACTGTGCTGGGTTTTCTTTTTTATAGGAAGCGTGTGTGGGAGGTACACCCTAGTGGCTCAAGACAATTTGCCTCTACTCCCGTCTCTGCTATAGAAGAGATCTGCGATGTCTTGGGCAAAGCATTAAACAGTCCCTTCCCCACCCCCTGCCTCAGTTTCCTCAGATATAAAAAATGAGATGAAGCCAGTAATTCCCACACCTGGCTGCACGTGAGAATTATGTGGGAAGCCAGTTAAGAATACTGATTCCTGGGCATGACTCCAGACCAGTTGAGGCAGAATATCTGAGGAGTGGGGCTCTGGAGTCCGTCTGTAGCCAATTATTTGTCAAGGCATCTGCTACCTGCATGTCCCCAAGGTCAACCACTTTGAAAGATGTCCGGGTACCTAGAAATCCAAATAATGGGAAATGTACCACCACCCCCAACCCTGTGGCCAGTATTTTGGCCAGTGCTTCTGGGGATTCTCCCAGGAGGCTTAGGTCACTCCTGGACATGTCTTGCTCCGATCTCTAGCTCCTACTGCGTTCTCTATCTTATGCCGTCTGTCCTCTTCTCTCCTCCCAAAGCCAGCCCAAACTGGAACCAGGTTTGGCTCCCTCTTTGAAAGTGAAAAATGTCTCTAGCTCTGGCGGTAAGAGAGGACATTACATAAGAGCCTGGGAATTCTACACCTTCCAGTCTTAAAGGAAGGACACCCTGACCATCCATCCAGAGAATTCCCCTTCTCTCTCCTCGGGCCCCCAATTCTGCCATCTCTTTATTCCGCTTTCAAGTAGTCCATGCCTAATTCTCCCGAAGTTTTGTTGATTGATTTCTCTAGCAAAGCAGTTTGCTCCCCACAACATATACCAACTACTTAAAGGTCAACCTTTGCATATCTCAAAATGCATTAGGGACCATGATAAATAAAAGGTCTTTGAGGAGCATGAAAAATGACAGAAGGTCCAAAATGCCTTCTCTTTAAGGTAATCAAAGGATTTAGGTAGACTCCCACTCCACCAGCTTCCTATCTCACTTAGCCAGCAGGAGGAAGGCTGTGGCCACACTACCATTCTCCCACATTGATATGACATGAATGATGCTGCTTCCCTCCGAAGATGGAAGTAGTGATTTTGTTTTCAACAGCAAATCTATCTTCTCACTCCTTGGGTGTTTAACAAACTCCCCAAGTGGCAGGGCCAGCCAGTCTGCATTTGGAAACCACTGGACCAGGTAAGTGAGTGCTGGAGTTACTTTCAGCCTTTTTATTTTTTTGAGACAGAGTCTCGCTTTGTTGCCCATGGCGTCAGCCTAGCTCACAGCAACCTCATACTCCTGGGCTCAAGCAATCCTGCTGCCTCAGCCTCCCAAATAGCTGAGACTACAGGCATGCACCACCATGCCCAGCTAATTTTTTACATATATATTAGTTGGCCAATTAATTTCTTTCTATTTATAGTAGAGACGGGGTCTCACTCTTGCTCAGGGTGGTTTTGAACTCCTGACCTCGAGCAATCCGCCCGCCTTGGCCTCCAAGAGTGCTAGGATTATAGGCGTGAGCCACTGCGCCCGGCCTACTTTCAGCCTTAAAATGCTGAAAATACACCTGCCTCTGCACCAGGGTGTGAGATGGACTTTGTTTGGAGTAAGCCCCTAGGTGACCTGGGGCAAGTTACTTGCTACTTACGGTCTCTGAGCTTTGCTTTCCATCTTTGCAAAGAAGAGAATACTGCCGCGTTCACAGACTATGTTGCGAATGCATGTGAAAGTCACTGTCAATAAATATTGGTTTTCTTCATCTTGACATACGGCAGGTAGCCTGAGATAAGTGAAGGGAGTTAGACAAAGCTCACGGGGGCTGGACCTTCTCTATGCAAATACCTTTCCTCGCGGGCTTCATGAAGTCATTCTGAAGCCTGGAAACTTCCCTAAGGATCCTCCCTGAGGGGGACCAACCACTCCACCACCGTGAAAGCACAGCCAGCCCCTTTGGGCGGCGACACACTGACTGGTGCTGGCATGTTGCACTGTTAGCATCCAGCTTCAGGACAGGGCAGCTTGACTTCCCCGGGACACGAGGCTGGAGGGCAGTGACAGTGCTGTCCTGGGTAACCTTCAGGCACCATGAAGTGAGGTCGCTCTAAACTGGCAAGGAAACAAGAATCAGGCAACCAATCACGTTACAGTTTCTGGATGCTGGGGTTCTCTGGGCACTCCTACCACACGCTGCCCTGGATCCCATCTCTCTGGGCAAACTGTGAGCTCTATGAGGGCAGAGAACAGTATCTTTCACCTCCCAGAGTGCCAGGCCCACACTAGACATGACACATTTGATAAATAAGTAAATGCAGGCCGGGCGCGGTGGCTCACACTTGTAATCCTAACACTCTGAGAGTCCGAGGCAGATGGATCGTTTGAGCTCAGGAGTTCGAGACCAGCCTGAGCAAGAGCAAGACTCTGTCTCTACTAAAAAAAAAATAGAAAGAAATTAGCTGGACAACTAAAAAAAAAATATATATATATATATAAAAAATTAGCCGGGCATGGTGGCACATGCCTATAGTCCCAGCTACTCGGGAGGCTGAGGCAGGAGGAGCGCTTGAGCCCAGGAGTTTGAGGTTGCTGTGAGCTAGGCTGATGCCACGGCGCTCTAGCCTGGGCAACAAGAGTGTGACTCTGTCTCCAAAATAAATGAATGAATGAATGAATGAATGCATGCATGCATTAATTTATGGATGGATGGACCAGAGGGGTTCAGGTTCAGACTATGTAAACTGGCTGCCCAAGTGATTATTCCACATGTGTTTTCAGAATTCCCCCAAAACACAAGCCTTTATTTCAAAACCTAATTCTGAAAAGCAGAAACGATGTTCCCCAGTCTGAAAAGTGACTCAATCAACTGCCAACTGCAATGACGCATTAAACGAACCCATTCAATCCCTCATTCATTCAACAAACACTTACTGAATCTTCATTACAGGCCAGGCACTATGCCAAGTGCAAGCGACAAGAAGGGAAGATGATGTGGTCCCCGGAAGGGCGGGGCACCAATCGATATCTTTTAAGCTTCCGCTGTGGTTCCAGTGTGCAGTGGGGGTTGAGGAGGACTGTTTGGGGGTCCACCTGCTCACCACACACAGCCTGTGGAGTGACAGAGGGCACTCGCCACACCAGTTCTGGGGGACCACCTGCCCGTTCCTCTGTTCTCCTTCCAGCTGTCTCCCCCTGCCCTTTTCTCTCTTAACCAGTCACAATCTCAGACTGAATTATTTACTGCTTTTGCAACCACTGGACAATACTGTTCCTATGGTTACCTTAAAAAGTAAACATAAAATAATAAAATACAATGTAACTGAAATATTTTAGATTTGGCTTTTTCAAAAACAAAACCAGAAAATGTATTTCTTTTCCACTGAAAGCTCATCAATCTGATATTTATTAAATGCATATTATATTTAGAACAACTTAGAAATCTAAGGCAATAAAAACAGTTCCAAGCTTCTGTCTAAACTTCGGTTCTAAATTGAAATTTTTTTCTATGGGAAAATGGTTCTCAGGAGAAAAAAGGTGCTCTTCTCTGTGTTGTCCTTCTAGTGCTGAGTAAAGCATCAACAACAAAAAAAAGGACTCCTGCAGGGCCTGGCACCAATTTCTACTCACTCCATACATAACAAGCAATCGATACCTGGTGATCGCTAGTGCAACCAATAGCTTCAGTCTGCCCAGAACTGAGGGGCTGGGAAGTCCCTGGCAAACCAGGACGGGTGGTCACCTTAGCAGTCACCTCTCCTCTTATGACCTGAGTTCCTCTCTCAGAAATGAAGATACTTAAATACAATGACACCTGGTCATAAATCACACAGCAAGTTCAAAGTCTTCATCGTAATATAGATTATTCCCACTTCATGCCAATGGTGATATTACCATTTTTGCTAGTGTGCAAGACGTGCATTTTTCTTGGTCTTGCTCCTCAATGTATTTCTGTTGAAGACAGGCTCTGATAGATTTCCAGCACCTACATCCCCTCCCCCTACCTACCATCTAAGATTCCTCCTGAGACAGCAACGTAGGGCTGCTCCAAGATTTCCTGGTTACATTGGAGTGGCCTCCATATACTCAACTTCCATTATCCCCTGTAAGGACTAGAGTTCAGGTTCTAGTACCACTACCAAGGCTGCATAAATGCTTTAGAGGGACAAGCACATCACTTGCACATTTCACTGTCCTAAGAGAAGCACCAGCAGGACACTGTGTGCAAAGACTCACAGCTGATGGCTTTCATGGGGACAGTCCTCAATTCAAACCTCAGCTCTATCAGTAACTCTGTGACCTTGGAGAGTTAGCAAATGACTCTCTGACCCTCACTTCCTTCCTCTGTAAAAGGAGAGTACATCCTATCTGCAAAGTTGAGAATGAAGATCAAAATCATACCAAACATAGGCATCCAAGTGCCTGACGTATATAGTAAAAACTGAGCATGTTATGATGCTCAAATTTTAGGCAACTAAAACCTTAAGTTTGTACACATTTGTTCAAACACACAAACACACACGTGCTTCCGAATGTCAAGTCTCCACTGACACAAACAAAAAGCAATTCTTCCCATCAGAAACATTTTCTTTATATGGAAACATATGATTTATTCAGTAAGAAACTAACTTTCTTACCATCTGAGTCAAGTAAATTTTCTCCTCCCAAGTCATTTGATTAAGGGCACACCACACAGCACATGTTTTATTATTATCATTATTATTTTTGACGTTTAATACCACGTTTCCTTCTCCCACATAGAATCTTACCCAACAGAAGTCTCCAAGAGGAGCCATAGCACATTCATAGCAAAGACAGAAAACTGCCTTTCAATTTCTGCTTTCCAATCTGATTCAACTAAAACAAAGCTGTAGTTAATCAACTAGGACACTGGAAAGATGAAAATCAGCCCATGTGAACATCATGGCCACGATCATCAACACCTCCATGAAATAAGGGGAGAAAAGAGAGAAACATCTCGAACTTTTATATAACTTTAAATTACTTTTAGAAAAAAATTATTTCTTTAAAAGGCATTGTATTGCCTTCGATGGTTTGAACATTTAGGCGTCTTCTCGGGGCCATTCCTGGGCAAACAGATGGCGAGTGTGAAATGGAAAACATTCGGAAAACAGCAGCCTCTCTTAGCCTCCTGGTACCCGGTATACAGGTACAGGAGACTTTCTGATTTCCAATCTTGGCTCAGAGTTCAGAATTTAAAAAAGGGAAAGGTTACATTCCTAGCGGGGGGGAAAATGCAGCCTTTTTGAGGGCACACCTGGACTTTCAGTCCATTCAAGTGTTCACGGTTCATCCTTCTGGCTCACAAGAGTTTTCAGTGCCCTGAAAACCTCCCTCCACGATCCTTCTCCTCCATGGTCTTCTGAGTGTAGTGGGACATTACCGCAAACCAGTAACGTCACAAGTCAAAGGGTTTGGGGCTTCCCAAGGAGCAGCTGCATCTGGGTAAGTTCTGATTTAAGAAACCTAGGACAAGTCTTCTCAGCAATCAACTTCCAACTTCCGGCACCAATGCCTGCGTCCTCAGCATCTGGCGGCTGCCAAGTCGTGCCAGAAAAGCAAAGAAAGAGCCTGCGAGCCCAGAATGGGCTGCCTCTGCAAACCTGGCACAATCCTCCACACACCTCCCCACCACGCAAATGTCCTATAAAATATTAAAACAAATAAACTGGACATGGCCGATTTCTCTGTACAAAAAGGCTTTATAAAAATACTCCCTGCATTTTAAAAAAGAAAAAAAATAAAAGATGCATGTAAACATCGCCTCCACGTCACTGGAGAATCCTTGAACCTTTTCATCTCATCTTTCGAATGTTCTGCGGATTTACTTGTTCAGCTCTTCTCAGAGGTGTCACTCTGCTTTCTTCTTATTAACAGAGTTCAGACTCTGAGGCCGCCTTTGAGTATGAACTTGTGGCTTGATTGGCAGAAACAGTATTATCAGGAGACTTACGATGTGTAAATAAAAGTACATGGACCTAGGAATAAAAGCATACGAAAATTGTATTTCAAACAAAAATGCAAAATGGGAAACATGATTACCTCATCTTCAGTGTGACGAGTAAAGGCACTGTTTTGGGCAGTAGGGGACATGTCTGGACTCAGGCTTGTCTCAATCTACTCGACAGGTAACTCTGTTTGGTGGGTGAACAGGTCAGACATGGACTGAAAACTCAAAACTGGGCAGAGCAAACCAACCAGCACCTCTGTGGATAGACATAGTATCTTCCCACTGGCAATTATAATAAGCAGACCGAGAGAATTAACCCCAAGACAGCCAGAAATCCCCAATATTCAAAGTCAGAGGACTCACGAGACCAAATTCAAACCCAACACAGTCATGTGCCATAGAGCAACATTTCAGTCAACAATAGGCCCCACACACATGAGAGGGGTCCCATAAAAATCATAATAGAACTGAAAAATTCCTATCCCCCAGTGACATCATAGCCATTGTAATGTCACAGTGCAGCGCATTACTGTTTTTGTAGTAACGCTGGTGTAAACAAACCTACTGCGCTGCCAGTCATATAAAAGAATAGCACACACAATTATATATAGTGTATGATACTTGATAATGATAACAACTACGTTACTGGTTTATGTATTTACTATATTACACTTTTTGTTATTATTTTAGAGTACGTTTCTCCTACTTATACATATAAAAACGTTAACTGTAAAACAGCCTCAACAGGTCCTTCAGGAGGGATTCCAGAAGATGGCATTGTTAACATAGGAGATGACAACTTTCTGTGTGTTATTGCCTCTGAAGACCTTCCAGAAAAACAAGCTTTGGAGGTAGAAAACAGTAATATTTATGGTCGACCTTGTGTAGGCCTGCACTAATGTGTGTGTCTGGGGCTTAGCTTTTAACAACAAAGAAAGAATAAAAATAGGCCGGGCGCAGTGGCTCACGCCTGTAATCCTAGCACTCTAGAAGGCCGAGGCGGGCGGATTGCTAGAGGTCAGGAGTTCAAAACCAGCCTAAGCAAGAGCGAGACCCCGTCTCTACTATATATAGAAAGAAATTAATTGGCCAACTAATATATATACAAAAAATTAACCGGGCATGGTGGGGCATGCCTGTAGTCCCGGCTACTTGGGAGGCTGAGGCAGCAGGCTTGCTTGAGCCCAGGAGTTTGAGGTTGCTGTGAGCTAGGCTGATGCCACGGCACTCACTCTAGCCTGGGCAACAAAGCGAGACTGTGTCTCAAAAAAAAAAAAAGAATAAAAATAAAAAAACTTTAAAAACAGAAACAAGCTTAAAGAGTTAAGATATAAATAAGTATTTTTGCACAGCTATACAATGTGTTCATTTTAAGCTGTTATTAACAAAAGACTCAAAAAGTTAAAAAAAAGAAAAGTTTGCAAAGTAAAAAGGTTACAGTAAGCTAAGGTTAATTTATTATTGAAGAAAGAAAACTTTTTAATAAATTGACTGTAGCCCAAGTGTACAGTGTTTATAAAGTCTACAGTGGGGAGCAGTAATGTCCTAGGCCTTCACATTCACTCACCATTCACTGGCTGACTTACCCAGGGCCACTTCCAGTCCTGCAAGCTCCCTTCATGTTAACTGCCCTATACAGGTGAACCATTTTTCATCTTGTATGCCACATTTTTACTGTACCTTTTCTATGCTTAGATACACAAATACCATTGTGTCACAACTGCCTACAGTATTCAGTGCAGTAACATGATACACAGATTTATAACCTAGGAGCAATAGGTATACCATATAAGCCTAGGTGTGTAGTAGGCTCTGCCATCTAGGTGTGTCCAAGTACACTCTATGATGTTCCAAAAATGACAAAACCACCTACTGATGCATTTCTCAGAAAATATCCCCATCATTAAGTGATGCATGACTGCATTCTGTTGCCTAAACACAACGCAGCTAAAACTTTAACCCAAATGTTCTATTCAAGTGTAAGGGGTTCTTCTCCTGTGTCTTACGAGTGAGAGGGATCCTGATTTTGAAAAGCTAGTCCATAACCCTGCAAATAACTGTCATGGAAACTAATGAGAAACAAGTTTTGCTTTTGAGGTTTGTGAACTTCTCTTGTAAAAATATGGTATTTGACACAGTGTGCACAAAGTAAATGCCAAATAAATATTGAGCATATCAACAAATGCAAGTAATCTGAAACAGTTTGCATCAGCACAACTGTTCTAGATCCATTTGGAAAGGTTAAAGTAACACTTTTCTCCAGTGCTTTTTAAACAACAAAGGAAAATAGTGTTAAGCGGTGGGATCGCAATTGATTACATATCATTCCCCAGCTTCTGTGATCCTAAGGTCAGGCACATTAGAATCAGACAACTCACATATGCAGTAAACGCAAATGCCTCCCTGAAAATGGCTACTGAATGGTCAAGAGCTCTAACAGAAGCAAACATATCTCCATGCGTTTATTCTTTCAATAAGCATTTACTGCTTAGGATATATGAAGCATTAAACCGGGATCTATAAAAAGGCATAAGCATACTCCCCTTCCTTTAGGGTAATAGAAACAAGACAAGTACATGATTCATGGTTGTTTAACCAGCTGAGGGGTGAACAGCCATAGCAAGCGACCATTTAATTTACCATGTAAACCAAGACATTACTGAGAGCAAAAAAGGGCTCCAGATAAGCGTGCTGGTTTAACAGGTATGAACCGGGATTCTTCCAGGCACACCCTAACCATAGGTGACTCCAGCTTGCAAAGTCTGAACGCCAAAAATATGCTTTATTCTTGAGCTTTGCTTTAATCTTTTTTATATGGCAAAATCTACATACGAGCAATTGTGTTAAATTATATGCAAATACTTCGAGAATCAAAGGGAAACAAATTTCAATCCCCTAATGAGGTTTAGTAACCTCTTCTGATATTTCATGTTTCTTTAAAATTTTAAGGAATATTCCATCTTTCTATTACGGAAAAACTCAATTCAGCTCAACTGGCATTTATTGAGCATGCGAGGCATGACATAAGTACTCCAGATACAAAGATGAGCAAGGCACAGTTCCACAGTTCCTGCTTTCGAGGACTCTGTGATCTATAAAAGTTTCTGCACAAATTCTAACATTCTTTCACACTGAATTTATGAAAGTGCTATCTAATTAAAGACATTTTGCATGTATGAGATATATGAGAATTTGCTTTTCAAAATGATTTCATAGAAGACCTTTAAATGTTCATCTGGGGCTCATTTACAACCTAAAGAAAAAAACTAGACTGAGAACTCTGAGGCTGAGATTTGAAGCCACTCTAGACCGAGCACTGACTACACCTAAGAACAAAGCACAACTGGAGTTTAAACGTGAAGCAAGGAGGATGTACTAAGAAATGGGTGTGCATATAACTGTCGTTCACTGCCAATTACTAAAGTTTGGCCCTAAGTGAGGAACAGATCTGGAATACAACGAGTCTCACCTTCACTAAAACACCATGCAATTTTAATTTCTTTCACCAGATTTAGGGATTTTTCTTAAGAGTTTCTGAAAGCAGGTTTTGAGGTGCCATACTGTGTATTAGCCCCTAGCAACAAGTGGTCATTAAAATTCAAATAAATCACAATGAAAGGAAATTGAAAATTCAGCTCCTCAGTCTCACTGGCCACATTACAAAATGCTCCATGGCCGCACACGTGCTGGGTGGCTGGTGTCTCAAATGGCACAGATAGAATATTTCCATCATCATAGAAACTTCTGCTGGACAGAGCAGATCTAGATAGAAAATTTAAATTATATACATAACCAGATAACCAGATGATACATTAGGTTGAATCATCTGAAATGGGCCAAACTGACAAAAATGTCAATTTCTGTGTCATCCTAAGCAAAGGTGTTTTTAAAAAGTATTCTAGATTGTTTTCAAAAAGAAGTGAAAAGCTCCCTGATAATTTGACTCTGCCCCTTAAGTCCCACTCTAAGCTTAGAAATTGGCATACTTGAGTTGATTAAATGCACGTTATCACAAACCAACCACCACTTAGTCTAATCGATAAGCAGTTTGCATCCAAAATAGCTTCTCTTAAAGAAATTTTTCATAACACTGACCATATTGTCATTAAGGGAACCTTAAGTCTGAAACTTGGGTCTAGCACTTAGTTGCTGTGTGAGTTTTGTTAAATTCCTCACCCTCTCTGAGCCCCCACTTTCTCATATGATAAACAGGGATACAGATACCAACCCGTCTCGCCTCAGCTCAGCACTCTCCAGCTTGGGTTCTTACTCTGCCCACATTCATGTTTCTCTGGTCCTCAGTGTGCAGAGCTTCCTCCTGGTATACTATGGGGGCTTTTCCATGCTGTTCCAAATCAAGAGCACTGCCCACAGTGGCCAGCCTCTCCCAGGGCACACACGCTGCCCCCACTCCACTCCCACTGCACAGCCTCCAGGACTGAGCTCAAATGCCACTTCCTCCCACAAGACGCCCCCACACATGCCCAGGCTGAGTCAGATTCCTGTTATATGCTACACTCTCACAGAGCTCTGTACCATTCACTCAGAGTACGATCTCAGTGTGTATTTCTACATTTGCCAATTACTGCCTGTCTTTTCCATCAAGCTATCAGCACCATGGGAGCAGGCATGGTTTCTCTACTTTGCTTGCCATTCTATCCCCAGCTTCTACCACAGTGCCCAGCATATTATAGGTATTAAATGATCCTGAGCTGAATACAGGCATTTCTGCTATTAATATAACATGATCAATCCATTCCTAAAAAGTCTCACACACATGCAGCAATATCTTGTTTAGAGGCCAGGTGCGGTGGCTCACGCCTGTAATCCTAGCACTCTGGGAGGCCGAGGTGGGCGGATCGCTCAAGGTCAGGAGTTCGAAACCAGCCCGAGCAACAGCAAGATCCCCACCTCTACTAAAAATAGAAAGAAATTAATTGGCCAACTAAAATATATAGAAAAAATTAGCCAGGCATGGTAGAACATGCCTGTAGTCCCAGCTACTTGGGAGGTTGAGGCAGAAGGATTGCTTGAGCCCAGGAGTTTGAGGTTGCTGTGAGCTAGGCTGACGCCACAGCACTCTAGCCCAGGCAACAGAGTGAGACTCTGTCTCAAAAAAAAACAAACAAACAAAACAAAACTATAGGTTTGCACTTTGTTCAGTGCATGGGTGGTCCCCAGCATGTGCCTACTTCACCCTAAATTCCATGTACTCCTCTCCACTATGTGCAACCAGCTGCATAAACTCCCCACATGCACCCACCAAATCGCCATCTCGGAGCACAGAGGGGCCCTTCTACAGATTGCATGGTTGGCCAACCCCGGCCCCAGCAGGGCCCCAGCTCCTGCCTCTGTCTCTGTCCTGTTCTCAGAATGCCCAAGGTCTCCAACGTAGCTGCCCCACTAAGAAAAAGGGCCAAGGGCAGCAAATTCTCCCTCTCCTTTTAATCCAGATCTATCCCTTCAAAGTGTGCTGTTATGAGCATCTCTTAATTACCTTCAGAATGGCTTAAGAGATTCCTGCCCGCTTTGTTCATATGTATTGGTATTTGAACATTGGTGCCTCCAGGACAGCCATTTTCTCTTAAAGCTTCTGTGGACATTTTCCTTTTCCTTTCCTTTTTTTTTTTTTTTTCTTTTTTTTTTTTTTTTGAGACAAGGTCTCACTCTGTTGCCCAGGCTCAAGTGCAGTGGAGCAATCATAGCTCACAGCAACCTCCAATTTCCTGGGCTCAAGCGATCCTTCTGCCTCAATCTCCTGAGTAGTTGGGACTACAGGTACACACTACCACACCCAGCTAATGTTTTTATTTTTTTGTAGAGATGGGGGTCTCACTATCTTGCCTAGGTTGGTTTCAAACTCCTAACCTCAAGCAATCCTGCTGCCCAAGCCTCCCAAAGTGTTGGGATTATATATCATGAGCCACCTGGCTGCTGCTATGGACATTTGTCACACTGTCACACATTTAGAAGTCCTTAGACTGCTTGATTCAATTCACCACCCTCCTAAGCCGAACACAGATAAATTTACTAGATGGCAACTGAGAACAATGGAAACTTACTTGTATAAACTGATGGTTGGTTCCACTGCCAACATAACAAAGGGTGCAACTGTATAAGAGACAGCCAGCTGAGTGACAGCCCAGGTGACCACATCATAGGCAACTCTGACAGCTTTTGAGCAAAGGAAGTAATGCCTGTAGTTGTTTCTTACCTGCAAGCCCAGGGAGGGGGGAGAGGAAAGAGTGAGAAACAAAACAGCTTTTACTCTGTGCACACACGTAGTATACCACAGCAACACGGGCTACAGAAAACAACCAGCATCTGAGTTCTATTTTCAGCTAAAAATACCATTATGGCTTTTCTTATTTAAAAAGAAAAAAAAATACATGTTCACTGTAGAAAAATGTTCAAACTAAGCCAAAAAAAAAAAGTTTTTTTTTCTGTTTTTTAACATCTCCTAAAGTAGCATTTAAAAACTTGGTACACAGCCTTCTAAGCCTTTTCTATTCATATGTATCCACATTTATATTCTTAATGGCACCAATACATTTTCTAGCCTGTTTTTTCATTTAGTTATAGATCTATACGAACTTTTCTCCATGTCAGTAAATATTAATCTCCAATATAATTTTAAGTTAATTAGGTAAAAATGTTAGCTTGTTTTCCCACCCTCTGTCTTGCTATTAGAAACAATTCCATGATGCATACCCTTGTAAATAAATTTCTGCCCTGTTTCCCAGTTAATCTCCATTGGGTAATGATAATACAAATAACATTACTATTACTAATAACAAAAGCAGCTACCATTTACTGAGTACTTACTGTGTGCCAAGCCTGTGTTCATGATCATCTCTGTTGGTTTTCCCAACAAGTCTATTGAGTAAGCATCATTATTCCCATTTTACAGGTATGGAAACTGAGACTTAGCTAGAGAGACAATTCTTGGAAATGGGACATGCTGGGTCAAAGGTTACACTCATTTGTACATCTTTTGACACATGTGACCAGACTTGCCTGCAGAAAGGCACCTCATTTCCAGGTGCAAGAATCAAAGGCAGAGGTGAAAACAATGGCTAGTTTATATAGGCAGGTCAGTCCCAAAGCAGGAAAGTCTTCAGTCGCCAAGGCTGCTCGGCAGGCTAAGGACCCTCTCCTGCACCCTACGTTCCTCAGGATAGAGACCAGGGGTCTGTCCATCGAGCAATGTTGGACATCCGGTATAAAATATCTGGTAACTTGCAGGGGCCTTAGATGCTTTATGACTATTTATCTCTTTCTAGACAAAATGAAAACAATGTTCTATCAACCCTTTCTTTTCCATCCCCTACCTAACTTATTTGTGAAAATTGTTTTCAGGCCATACAAAAGAAAGGCTCTGCAGAAATCAAAGCCTTTATGCCAGAACTAAAGACATTTTAAGGACTAATACTCTGGATATATTAACAAACAAAATTCTGACCTTTATTTCTCAGTTTGTCCTGGCCACCTATTCTTTAGTTTTCCTTTATAATCTGAGTAGGTATATGAATGGGAGAAAAGAAAATATCTTCCCTGTGTTCTATGTATTAATACAAATATATTCAATATGAACTTAATTTTAGAAGTGTATTGATCAGTATGAATAGCGATAAATTATCTACCTTGTTCACATGTGTATTCTAACACACCTCTGTCTAATCAAAATAGAAATTCCTCAGGGGAGGGACTCTTGTTTTGTTCACTGTGGCGACCTAGCACCTACACCACTGACTGGCGCATAGTAGGGCTCCTGAAATATTCACAGAGTAAGTGGATTAAAGGATAAGTGACTTGGTAGGCTGAGGCTCCTGAATTCACATCCAAAAAGCAGTTCAACAAATGTCATTAAAAGCTCTTCATGTCTGAAATGAGGAATCATTATCAAGGACTGGAATTAAATCAAATGCAAACTCCCTCTATTTGACAATGAAAGCATTTTGAATTGCAATTACATCTATACATGTTCACCTTCTTCTTTGAGGACAACCACATTTTTTATTCCTTTATTATCTTGTTCTACAACAAGCAAATAGCAGGAAAAATCTAGGACAAAGTAAAGGCTCCAAAAAAAAACCTAGAGAACCAAAATTTATAAAATTCACAAAGAATTTTACACAAACTACGACAACTGGATCAGGCACGAGAACATAAGACGTTAGATCAATCTCTCACAGACACATTTCTTACGGCTGCTATGTTACTGACTGCTCAGAGACACTGTGAATTATTTCTAGGCTTAGGGCAAGGAAATGAGAAATTAAGTGGAGCATAAGCAAGCTGAAATCCTATGGAGCCTACATTAATTAATAATCATTGTCATCTGTAATTAGTAGATAGTGTATGTTCACAGCCTTTAATGATTAAAAATGTTTTCATCTCTTAAGATACTAAACATTGCCTCTAAAATTCCTTCTGTTTTACAAACACCCTCTGTAAATAATATGAAAATAAAATGTTCAACTATCTTTGTAATGACCACAAGTTCCTCTATATGGAAGTGCTTCTCTAATACTTCTGTATGTTGTCTGATTTTTCGAAGTATCACTCCCACCTTCTACCCACAACCCCAACTCCTGCTAGGACCCAAAAGATGACAAACATACAAGCATGGGATGCCTAAGGCAAAGACCCCCTACACCCAAGGAGGCTTACCGCTCTAGCTGCTAAGGTGACAAGGGTTCCAGTTAAGAAGGTAAAATAGTATCCAGGGTAGACACCATGCCACAAAGCAGACAGGATGAAGGTTAGCACCGTGGGGTACCAGGGAACCCGTTCGTAGCACACGCTGTGAAGAGAGGAAAGAACAAGAAGCCACAGGTAAAACACACCAGAAACTTCTAGCTACAGATGCTTATTTTGGGACCAGACCACACAGAAATCATCTGATCCATTACTGGTGGGATGCTGCCTGACCTTCTTCAGGTATCTAAAAGCAACCCACGCAGTCTGAGCTGGTCTGGTTTCCACCAGCACTACCAGATGGGCAGGTCATGGCTCCTTTTGAGGAGATGTTATGCACTTTTAACCTCCACAGACTAAATGATCTGGACTTCACCACATTATAGCTACTAGAGGTCTGAGTGATCGCTTTCCACCCAGCAAGAGTTCCTGCTATATAGAAGATGATTCCACCAACAGCCTAATCTTATAAGTGCCATTGGCCTTCAAAATATTGGAATCAGGATCAGAGTCTTTAGAAATGAACATCCACATTTAGTCAAAATTAGTTTACCTTTCCAACCAAGCCCCTATGCCATCTAACTAATCAATAACACAATCCTTTTCATCTTTCTTGGCAATGACTCCAACATATAATCAATGAGCCATTATATGACCTCTTCGGGTTTCACAGTGTCCATCAGACCTAATTCATAAATTTGCCTTAAAGGGTGAGATTGTGAGACTCTAGAAAATGTCAACAAATGCCCTGGAGATCTTTGGCGTTTTGGTTGTTTATTAAAACAAAATGATAGGGAAGTTCCCCCCAACTCAGCCTATGAATTGCCAATGATAATCCAAGGAAGCCACATCTGGTTTACTAAATGAGAGGACCCCAATAAAAACATAAAAAATAAACTGGAAATTCAAACGGTTAACACCAATACACCGCTATGTGGGTTGTTCAAAAGTAACTGATGTAAACTGAAACTAAGGATTATAGCTCCTTCTTCAGAGGAAGAAAGAGAATGCATTTGGGGAGACAGACATGGACTGAGACCCCTTTTTGAAATGAGGAGTAAGGACATGCGTATTTGTTTCTTACTCTTTGTATCGTTTGTGTGATTGAAATATTTTTTAAAAAACTGGTTTTTTTATTTTTATTTTTTATGTACACACATGTAATGTTCAAGTCATTTTAGAATACAAACTCCTAATGGAGACTATATGGCTTTTAGCACAGTTGAATTACTCAATATACAGAAATAAAGGTGTATGTTACAATTATTTGTAAAATCAATTAACAGTAATAATTTTAAGGTCAACATTTCAAAAACTGGATGTATGGGTCAATTTTCAGAAAACACTGCAAAGATCTTACTTTGGAGAAATTGCTACATGTCTGTTTCTTCTCTTGCCCCAGTATTTTAACCTATGAGAGATGCTACTTATGAAAAACAGTGGAACTTGTCTTTTTTTTTTTTTTTTTTGAGACAGAGTCTTACTCTGTCGCCCTGGGTAGAGTGCAGTGGTGTCAACATGGCTCACTGCAACCTCACGCTCCTGGACTCAGAAGCCTCAGCCTCCCTCAGCCTCCCAAGTAGCTGGAACTACAGGTGTATGTCACGACTCCTGGCTAATTTTTCTATTTTTTGGTAGAGACGGGGTCTCACTCTCACTCAGGCTGGTCTTGAACTCCTGAGCGCAGGCAATCCTCCCACCTTGGCCTCCCAGAGTGCTAGGATTACAGGTGTGAGCCACCACACCTAACTTGGAATCTGTCTTAAAGCTTAATACTTTTATACTTTCCCTGCACTCATTATGATAGGCATAATCACTAGGTAGAGTTTGCTGCTTTAAGAATAGCATTATTATTAGTTCCATAATAAGAAATGTCTCTAATTCTGGAACATGTGGGGAAACAAAAAGACAGAGGAATATCAACAAAAATATAAATTTTAAAAGCATAAACACCTGGAGTACCATAAAGCTGTTAATGCTAGGGATGAGTATCAACCCTCTTTGGTGTCTGAGCAATAGACTCCCCTCTAGGTAAGAAGCAGCACCGCACAGACGTCAAGAGTCTAGTTCTGGCACTCATTAGCTGTGTGACTTTGGGCTGGGTACATAACCTCTCTGTGCCTCACTTTCCCCATCTGTAAAACGGGGATAACAACCACCAACATCTCATGAGAATGATGGAGGATTAAATGAGTAACTGGGACACAGTAATGGTACCATTAAGCAATGAAATAAATGTGCTACCTTATGACCTCCTCGTATCACTATATTTCTACTTTTTCATCTACAGGACATAGATACTAATACAAAACAAGAGTGTCGGATGACATTACCGCTGGCAGACTACCACTGGTCACCTTCTGACTCCCCTCGAAACACAGCCCAGGGCCATGAGTAATGAGGTCGTTTTTGGTTTTCTTACCACTTTAGCCAGGTAGCTGTCTGAATATTCCAGTTTTCTAAGTACATTTTGAAACTTGTAGCAGTCTAGAAAGAAGAAAATAACACCTATCATTAGCTTTAAAAATACTCTAAGTAATGGAACGTCCTTCCCCAGAATTTCCCTGGTAGCAGATTAGAGGTGGTGTTTTCAGCAGTGACTACTTACGGTTCAGGATAAACCAGCTGTTCCATTACACGCAGTAAAATTTTCTGATGTTTGTAAGATTTACTTTGCAACTAAAGCTCGCCTTGCAAAGTCTCAATTTTTCTCAAAATTTATTTTCAAATTATAGGAAAAACCGAAGGAACATATTGTGGGTTTCTCTTCCACTCTGGTTAAAAATTTAAGTCATCTGAATTTTAAAACTAAACACTCTAAAAGAGGATTAACCACAGGAAAAATATAGTCATGTGAATTTAGTGCCTTTATGGGGGCAGCTTAAATTTAATTGTCATCTTTTCACTATGTGGCCATCTACAAACTAGGTCAGTCTTGTGCAGTTAACTCTATAAATAGCCACCCAGGTTCAAATACTTCCAATTGTGTCTGGAATAGTAAGAGATTTTATGCATGAAGGGATCATAATACAGAAAAGAAAACAAAGAAATATCACCCAACTGGCAATGAGGCCAGTGGTAAATCAATTAGTGGTAAATCAACCACTGAGGAAGACTTCACATTTCAAAATCAACTGGGTTTTCTTATTTAAAAAAAAAAAACAAGAGGTCTTATCAAAAACTGGTGGTAACAAGCATGAAACAAGAACACAAGGACCAGAATTCTTAAAGAAGGTAGAAAGTCTAAGTGCCACCTTTTCTCTGTTGAAGTTTCTTCAAACATAAGAAAATATTACATAGTCCATACCTTGCCCTAATGTCACATGCTTGCAAGGGAGGGAGGGAAGGAAGGAGGAAGAAAGGGGAGGGAAGATGGATGACAGACAGATGAGCAACCGATGTCTTTATTGTGAGTTTTTATTTCAAAATCCTAAGGGGTCCTATTCATCCATTTCTTCTATGGCTAATAAAATGCTATAAGCCGAGCCTCAAGGTACCTTAACTAAACTGCACTTCCTTCTTTTTCATTAGTTTCTTGCTGTACATCAAAATCCAATGAAAACACAAACTTTCTCCTTCTGGCTTTCTTTTATTATTATTAATAACTGAGCCCTTTCCCCTGAACACTTGCCCACAGTGAAAGGAGTCTGTTTTTTGGTGCATAGCAAAGGCAGACAGCCAAGGTCAAGGTGACTCACCCTAAGGGACGTTCACCCGCAGCACTCCAAGGCAGCCAGCAGTGGCCCCCAAGTTAGGAAGGAGAAATGAATTTTAGTGAAAAAAGAGAAGAAAGTCGTAACATACTCCAACTCTCTCTGACATCATCTATATAGAAAAGCAAAGTTTGCAGATGATTTATCTTGCTTTTCCAAAAGTGAGAAAGGTCATTTTGAAAGCTGGAACTTATCCATTTAAAATGCGGTTCATCATGAGCAGGGACTGCTTCTCGCATCACATGAGGTGACTAATGGGAAAAGCATTATTTGTTCATTCAGAACCGATGCTGGACCTTGGCCATGTCTCCTAACCACACCTGCCAAGGCTTTCCACCCACAAGAGCACCCAGATCCTCTACAACTGTACAAAAATGGGTGCTATGCCCATTGTGGGCCCTCAGTTAACATTTGTTGAATCTGACTGAGCTGAGTAACTAAATGACATGACAAGTTTAAGCTGAAGATATGATACGATTTACTTAGATAACCAGTCTAAGTGCTTCTACTTCTTTCTGCTTATTTGTATTTGAAGTGGCAATGCCCCGAGGCTAAAAAGGGAAGTGAAAGATAATCCTCCCTATAAATTGCACCATATTCTGTTTGGTGAAATGCCCATCAGTTTCCCTCTGGAGGCCACCCAAATGCAAATCGCCTCAGGCGAAAGAAGGGGAGGTTTTCCCGTGTCTCCTTCTGGCCTAGCTCCTACCAAACGTGGGTGGCAGGTAGTCAGTCCCGCATAGTAAGGCTTCTTGCTCCACAAGCACAACCCCCTCTGCCCAAACTCCCCAGTGGCACTCTGCCCTGTGGTGGGTGGAAAACCAAAACCAACAGCAAACATGAGTCACCTGGCTAGAGAACGAACATTTTTCTTTTCTTTATTTTTTCTTTTTTTTTTCCAGACAGGGTCTTCCTCTGTTGCCCAAGCTGGAGTGCATCTTCACAGCTCACTGCCACCTCCAACTCCTGGGCTCAAACAATTCTCCTGCTTCAACCTCACAAGTAGCAACCATGCCCAGCCAATTTTTTCTATTTTTGGTAGAGATGGGGTCTCGCTCTTGCTCAGGCTGGTCTTGAACTCCTAAGCTCAAGAGATCCTCCCACCGCGGTCTCCCAGAGTGCTAGGGTTACAGGCGTGAGCCACTGCACCCAGCCAAGAACCAATGTTTCTGTATGTTGAGAACAATGTCCTTGTTCCCATTCAGCTCCAAGGAGGAAAGGGTCTAAGACTTGGCATTCCTGTCCACTGTGAGAGCTAACAAAACAAAGGAAACCAGGAAGAATGTGGCTCCAAAGAGACCTCTTATGATAACAAAGACATCAAGAATTGTGGTCCAGGCCGGCCACCGTGGCTCTCACCTGTAATCCTAGTACTCTGGGAGGCTGAGGCGGGAGGATCACTCAAGGTCAAGAGTTTGAAACCAGCCTGAGCAAGAGCAAGACCCTGTCTCTACTAAAAATAGAAAGAAATTAATTGGCCAACTAAAAATATATAGAAAAAATTTGCCAGGCATGGTGGCGCATGCCTGTAGTACCAGCTACCTGGGAGGATGAGGCAGGAGGATCACTTTAGCCCAAGAGTCTGAGGTTGCTGTGAGCTAGGTTGATGCCAGGACACTCTAGCCCAGGCAACAGAGTGAGACTCTGTCTCAAAAAAAAAAAAAAAAACAAAAAACAAAAAAAAAACAGAATTGTGGTCCAAGAACGAAGACGAGGAAAGAGAAAAACCACACCATTCTAGTGGCTTAAATGTGGTGCACTATGACAATTCTTCTTAAAAGTGAATAGACTAAAAAAATCTCCCAAGGAACCACAGAAGATAATTGCAATATTGAAATCTAAATACAGGAGGAGCTTCCCACTGGTATTCTTGACTGAAATAGGTAGAACGTGAGAACAAGAGAAAATGACATTTGGGCTTTCTAGTTGAAAGAATGGGAATGGACACAGAAAGATTTTCCTGGCTCTTTTTCAGATTTTGTATGTGTGTGTGTATATGTGTGTGTCACTCTTCCTTGAACCATTAAAATTATCATCAAATAAGTATCTTTAAAAAAAATAACAAGAAGGAAAAAAATTCTGAGACACAAAATGTCCAAGAAGCTTCTGGACCTGGCATTCCCCTAAAGGCTGCTTTTCCCCAGATACTCTGATGAAGAATTCTGGGGCTGAAACACTCAATACAAACCATTTGCTCTATTCACTGTGGAAGTCTGATTCAAAGGCATAATACACTCACCTCGATTTTCCAGATGTTTAGGTTAGAAAGCAGATCCCAACAGAAATTTCCATTCTTATCCACTCCGCTGAACCCAAAGCCAGCTGCGTTATTCACTGCATCAGCTACGGTTTTTAAAAAATAACACATTAGGATATAGAACAAAAGTCACATGGCTGCTTTAAAGGGTACTAAATATCTGTCTCACTTCAAGATGGAGAGGTATATGCAGTAGTTTCCTTCAAAAAGGAGCCAAAAAAATTTAAAGGACCAGGCACCAGTATGAATCAGAAAAATGTACTTGGCTCTTTGGTGACCTTGATTTTTACCCATTCATTCTCTAGCTCTTAGCAAAAGTGCTAGATGCTCATAGAATGCAAAAAAAAAAAAAAAAAAAAAAAAAAAAAGAGAGATAATAAAAGAGAAATGAAGCAATAAATAGGACTCAGTGACCAACTTGATAAGAGGAGGAAAAGGAAAGCAAATATAGAGCTAAGCTCAGAAGCGAAGACCAGAAGAAACAGGGAACCCAATAGAGGCCCAAGAGCTGTCACTGAAGGTGGCAGGGCATTAGCTGAGAGGCAGGGCTGTGTCGGGAGGAGAACCAGCTCTGGAAGAGAACCAGAGCTCACTCTGGATATGTTAAACGTGACGTGCCAGTAGGCTATCAGATGGACCAGCCAAGATGCAATTAGGAAGAGTTTAGGTCCCCAGACAAAGAACAGAGCTAGGACCATCACGTTGGAGCCAGTTGCATTAAAGGCCACACGTGCACACCATTACAAAAGCCAGCCTACTCATACAATCCATCTAAAAGCTCCTGTCCCCATCCTTATTTTAATTCACTGAGCTATAAGAAAACGTCCCCCTACAGTGACTATGTCATCTCTACTCAGTTCCTTAATGAAGTGTTTCTGTAATCAAACACAGACCTGATGGACTCAACACTTTTGTTATGATGACCAAGAAGCTGATTTTCTCTTTTCATTTATCTTATTTCAAGTTCTGTTAGAATATCTTCCTTAAAAAAAAAAAAAACCTGGCTGGGCGGGGTGCGGTAGCTCACGCCTGTAATCCTAGCACTCTGGGAGGCCGAGACAGGCGGATTGCTTGAGGTCAGGAGTTCAAAACCAGCCTGAGCAAGAGCGAGACCCCGTCTCTACTATAAATACAAAGAACTTAATTGGCCAACTAATAATATATAGAAAAAATTAGCGCGTGTGGTGCACATGCCTGTAGTCCCAGCTACTTGGGAGGCTGAGGCAGCAGGATTGCTTGAGACCAGGAGATTGAGGTTGCTGTGAGCTAGGCTGATGCCACGGCACTCACTCTAGCCTGGTGTCTCAAAAAAAAAAAAAAAAAAAACCTCAACTAATCAAACTAATTAAATCATAGCACTGTAAAGTCTTAGATCTGGAGATCTTAAAGAAATCTCTCCTTTTCTATATGAGTTCAAGTCCAACTCAAGACAGCCTTCTGGAGAGCTGCTCTACTGGAGAACAACCCGTCCTATGTCTATCTTCTTTCTTTTTGGCATAATTGGTGACTTACTGTTGCTTATGTCGTGCTTGACTTCATCATCAAGTCATCTGGTTTCTCTTAGAAGAAAGGATAAAAAGGACTGAGTCCTCCTATGTCATTGTCCCCAGCGATTGGGCGGGAACTCAGCAAAGAAGAAAAAGAAAAACAAAGCCAGGGTGTGCCCCTAAGAAACTAATGGTTTTGGCCGGGCGCGGTGGCTTACGCCTGTAATCCTAGCACTCTGGGAGGCCAAGGCGGGAGGACTGCTCCAGGTCAGGGGTTCGAAACCAGCCTGAGCAAGAGCGAGACCCCGTCTCTACTATAAATAAGAAAGAAATTAATTGGCCAACTAATATATATACAAAAAATTAGCCGGGCATGGTGGCGCATGCCTGTAGTCCCAGCTACTCGGAGAGGCTGAGGCAGCAGATTGCTTGAGCCCAGGAGTTTGAGGTTGCTGTGAGCTAGGCTGACGCCACGGCACTCTAGCCTGGGCAACAAAGCAAGACTCTGTCTCAAAAAAAAAAAAGAAACTAATGGTTTTAAATGTGTGGGGAAAAACTTGTGAATGACAGAGATCCACTAAACTGGGAGAAGAAGGGCCCTTGAGGTCTGTGTCAACAACTAAAAACCAGAGACGGAATGACCTCGGCTGGGACCGGCATAGCAGTTTCTAAATTCCTTCTCCCATCTCCAGCCTCATATCTGCTACACCTTGTCAGATAGAAAGGAACGGAATAATGATAACTACCTTTTCTGTGTGTGTTTTTGGTGCTTACTCTCTTTCCAGGACTCTAGGAAACACTTCTCAGGCATTTCTCATTTAATCCTCACAACAGTGTTAAGATGGCGGCTGAGGGTGTTCTCTGGAGCCAGATCAGCGGGTTCCTGCCTCCACTCCACAGCACACTACATGCACGGCCTGGGGAGAGTTATATAACTTCTAGAAACCTATGCCTCTCGAGTACAGAATCGATATAATAATGGCGCACATCTTTAAAGGGTTGTTGAAAGGATTAAATGAAATTAAATACGTGTAGAGTGCATAGCTCAGTGCCTGGCCTAAATCAGCACTCAAGAAACATTAGCTGCTATTACTATTGTTAGGCTATTAAGGAGACTGAGGCTAGAGATGTTAGGGAAACATTAATATCACACAGGTTGTAAACAATGCGCCAGACTCTGAGGACAAGAATTTGGATTCTACGATGTGAAAAGCCACACTGTGAAGGGCCCAAGTACTGGCTCTCAGAACCGTGGCATGGAGATGAAGCTAGAATCCCCACTCTTCTTGGTGATCTCACGGTTGTTTATTCAAGCCTTGTTTTAGTCCCAGAGCAGTTAAGAGGGTCTAAGTTCACCTGTCCAAGACTGGCTTTACTGGCACTGTGCGTGGCTCCAAGCTATTGTGACTGATAAATTAATTTGGACACACATATGTTGGAGTTTGTGGTCCTCCGAACACAGCCTGGACTAAAGTTGAGCCTTGCTAATTAGTACTATTTAGCAGGAGGGGAAAACAATCAGCATTGTACAGTAAGTCCAAAAGAAATAGTTTTATTATTGCAATGTAAACAGTAACTAGAGCTAGGCTGACACGGTGCAGCTCAGCCGAGATTCATCAAGAGGCCAGCTTTAAGGATTAAATTTATAATCATGTATAATTAGTACATCAATTATATGTAAATGGCATTTTAAAGAGCTGGAGAAAACAATTATTCCGTTAAGCAGTTTAACTAGTCCCTGATATACTATTCATTGTTTCTTTATTCATAAATATGACAAAGGTTAATTTCAGACCAGCCCGTGGAATCTAAACGGTAACAAATTTCAAACTGAGGCCATCCAAATTAATGAAGTATTTCTACTATGGAAAAAGATAAATAAGAGGAGGGTGGGGGAGGCAAGGTAGAAAAAGAAGAAGAGCTGAGTGTGCAGAGAAAGCTCTGCACAGAAAGGGTTACTTCTTCGCTGTGGTCTACATGTCTGGGGTGCTCCCAAAGGGACAGAATGACACGGGTGGCCCTGCTCCCTGGAACCCCTGCCCGCCCAAGTCCCCACACCAGCACGCCCATGTCGCCTCGGACCCCCCCTACGAGGCCATGGGATGACCCTTCTCTCCCCCTGAACAGCCGGAGCTGACTGAGTCCAGAAGCCGGCCCTTAAGCCCTGGGACACAGAAAATGGGATTGGGAGGAGAGGCAAATTTTATATATTTTTTACCACAATAAAAAATAAATAAAGTAATTTGATACCTGCAAACGTGAATTTGGAGCTTAAAACCTGAGGCACGAACTGAGAGAAGAACTCATTCAATTAAGTGCTATTCCCTCATGCGTGGCATATGGGCTAAACACCAGGAACCAAGTTTATTTATTTTTTTTAATTTCAATAGATTTAGGGGATATGAGTGTTTTTGTTGCATGGATGAACTGCGTAATGCTGAAGTCAGGGTTTTCTGTGTGCCCATCACCAGGTAGTGTGCATTGTACCCGACAGGTAGATCTGTATCCCTCACCCCCTCCTGCCCTCCCCTCATCTTCGTTTTCAAGTCACAGCTCTCTGACATCAAGGACCAGGTCACTTGCAGCTACGATGTTAAACTCCCATTCCTGAAAGGGTTCCAGGTGTGGCACAGATGTGGCTGTCATGCCTTAACGAGACCCTCTACCAGTTGTGGTAAGGCCACCCAGGGGTTTATTGCTCACTGTAGCAAAGCTTTAAACAACGCCAGTCTAAAACTGTTTGAAAGGAAAGAGATAAAAGCTTAATACTGACCAAGTTATCCCAGAGAAAGAAAATAATCGTTATAAAACCAAATGAAGCCGAACTTTCTACCTCAAAAAAAAAAAAAAACACAAAATCACTTGAAGTCAGCTTCTTTCTAAGACATAAAGCTTAACCAACAGTTTCTTAGAGAAGTGTAACCTAAATGAGTATGTCTGCTGACAAAATTAATTCAGGATGCATCTTGTATTATAAACAACCCAGAAAAAATTACAAGAAAGCCAGATCACTTTGGAATTTTTCCCTAACTTTCCACTGCACTAAATGGCCAAGTTTGATTGGTGAAAGCAGAAGCTTCCAATTTTTAACATCTGTTAATAACATCGAGCTTAAACAACAGCCAGGATGCTTTTCCCTCTCATCACGGCTAATCGCGTTTATGGAGGGCGGAAGAGAAGAGGGCTACGTTGGAAACTAAAAAAAAATGACACTGGCTACACAGCCTCCCGTTATATATTGGACTTTTTTTGATTAGGTGATCCCAAAAGTTGTTCTGGCGAAACCATCCAAAGATCATGAATTTTCCCTCATTCATTTAGGGCCACTCCATCAAACTTACCTAATGTCCATGCAAAGTAATACTTGGGTTTTGAGGCTTGCATGACAATATATAAGTAGCAGAGTCGCGTCAGAAAGTTTGCTTTATAGACAAACCAGTCACTAAGAAGACAGGTGACAGGGAAGGCCTTGGTGAGCGTCAAAAACAAAAGGAGAGACACCAAGGTGATGCATAACTTCTGTATCACAGCTCCCTGAAAATGGGAGGGGAAAATCAGTGTAACCATTCAGAAGACTCAGGTATGAGAAAAACAATTTTGGCAAAGGCACGTTAAGAACAACATTGCTCCACTGGCTGCTCCAGCATTACTCTATAAAAGGAATAGCAAGGGGCATTCTTCCTTGTGACGCAAATCTGACAAGGGAGATTAAGTGTTATATTTAGGTACAGGATATACCTTTAACACTTGGGGGTGAATGTACTGAGAATGGAAGACAACTTCTATCACCATATTCTACCAATAAAAGGTAGGTGGTTTTATTACCCAAAACAGAAAAGAAATGGGTAACATTATAGGGTGGTGATTTTCCATCAGAAAGAAATAATCATTTACCTTCCACTTCTGGAGCCAGCAGAGCCCAGGAAATGGATGAGTCACCAGCAAGGAAGACAGAGGCTCAGGTAGGAAGGATTTTGAGCCAGCAGGGAATGGGGCGTTTCAGAAACCTCCCAGGATAGTTTAGATGTAGTCTGCTCCAGGGTTGAGATATGCTCACTTTTTAACAGTGATTACTTTTGTCCAGTTTCCCTGACATTTCAGAGAATGTCCTTCAACATTCAATAGAATTGTAGTTTCCAGCTTCAGAAAAAACAGACTTTTATTGGCAATATGGGTACAGTAATAGCACCTCCCTCAGAGGGTGGCTCGTGGCTTAAGTGAATGAATATTTACAAGGTACTGTGAACCCTGCCTGGCTCCCAGGTAAGTGCTCACCATGCTCAGCCACAGTTATGACAACACCACTGAGAGGTGCCAGCCCCTCCCATAGCATGTCTTTGACCAAAATGCAACCTCACCCCTTCACTTTCTCTGTGCACAAAAACACAAGAGTCGCCTTGGAGAGTGATGGTTAAGACTCTGATAAAATTACTTTCTGAATAATAAGCACATGAAACACGAAAGCACCACGGTGACAGATACTGCCTAGAAACACCTGGTTACTTTGATGTCTCACAGGCATGGTGACTTCATTCTTAGATTGTCCAACAGAACAGAAGAAGTTGAGACACCTGACCAACCATAAAGCATATAAATTTATTATTTCAGCATAAATTCATGCTTAATTAATAATCACTTAAATTTCCAAATACTTAGCTCTTAGTTTTGCCTAGACTTGCATTAGCACTTATGAAATACTGAACTCAATTTATCCTCATTTCTTCCTTTTTCCAATTTTCACCATTCCTTCAATTAATTTCAATTCCCCTTCAATATAGGATATTTGATCTGAATAAATTTAGCATACTTGTAAAGTTCAATAAGTTATCCTAATATTGACTAATTTGAGATTGATAAAATTCAGGTTAAAAATTAAGGCCAGGCATGGTGGCTCATGCCTGTAATCCTAGCACTTTGGGAGGCCGAGGCAGGAGGATCACTCAAGGTCAGGAGTTCGAGACCAGCCTGAGCAAGAGCGAGACCCCGTCTCTACTAGAAATACAAAGAAATTGATTGGCCGATTAAAAATATACAGAAAAAATTAGCCGGGCATGGTGGCACATGCCTGTAGTCCCAGCTACTCGGGAGGCCGAGGCAAAAAGGTTGGTTCAGCCCAGGAGTTTGAGGTTGCTGTGAGGTAGGCTGATGCCACAGCACTCTAGCCTGGGCAATAGAGCCAGATTCTGTCTCAAAAAAAAAAAAAAAAAACACTTAAAATATTATTTTAGAAAGCCATCATAAACTCTCTTGAGATCAATAAAACCAAGCTTCAGGCATGCCAATGTAAAATTGGTTTCCCTTGTATTAAGTGAGATCTACCAACACACATACACACACACATACACAAACAACACATAAATTCTGATTCCCACCCACTGCTCCTGCCACCTTTTATGACATACTATCTTTCGGCCATATTTGAATTTCAATTCATAAATGCAAAACCCCCATAGTATTCAAACATGTTAACGTGCACAGCCTGGGCACATTGGGTGCCCTAAATGATGGCTGGCTGGCTAACAACGGTATTGCTTTAATGCTCCAGCCAGTGAGCTCCTCTGTAAAACAAACACCCATTGCTCCAACGCAGAGAACGACTGCAAATAAATACGAATACTGGTATTTTAAACAAATGAGAAAAAAAGTTGTTGACCAAGATTTCTGGTAAAGTGTTTGCTTTTTAAGTATAACCATTATTACTGAGAATTAGGCCTGGCAACAAAACCCTATTTTCTCTGTACCTCTGGGTAAACATGGGGCACTAAACACTTACAGTGGGAGAAGGTTCTGGAAAGCTGTGGAAACCTTTTTGTTTCCAGTTCACTTCTAGCAACTTCATGTGTATATGTCTCCCCTCGATGAAGGCTACGTAGTCCTTGAAATTGTTGCAAGGGCCAGCTATGACACTCATGAAATTGAGAAGGTAGCTTAAATATTCCAAAAAAGAGGGTTTCACTCTGTGAAAATAAAGTAAAAAAGGTTGAAAAGTCTTCAGTCTTTTGCTTTTTCTTCAAGATTTGCAAATAAGCAAATCATAAACACACATTATCTCTATAGATTACTATGTGGGATATGACCTTTCCTTGTTTTGTTTCTATTAATATAAAATCCACCTACGAGAAATCTTGTGGAAAGGAAATGTTAATATGAATAATGCAGGTGGCCAGGGCTCCATGGCGCCCTCTGCTGGCTTATAAGCACTCAGGGTGGGGTCTAGGAGGGCAAAAGCAACTCTGAGGTTGGGAAATGCTCTTTTCTCATCACCTTTATCTGTCTACAGGACAAAATGAAGGTAATAAACAAAAGGCAGGCTGGGAACCTGACCTAATAATGTTAGCTGATCGAGATGCTTTTCAATGGCAAAACTCCCTCCCAACTGCCAAAATAAATACAAAACAAATGATGGGTGGAACTAGTTTCCACTTAAAGAGGCCACACAGAACTATCCCTGTAAACAGCCTCTTGCCTGCTTTGGCATCCAAGCCTGGGGTCCTGAACCACACACCAGGGTAGTGGCAGGGGGAAAAAAATGTGCAGAGAACAGTTCCAAGTAATGATTTAATGCAATGGCATTTCGGGAGGCTTCTTCTTCTAGCAGGATGGAATGGTGGAGAAAACCTTTGCAAAGCGCCATTGCTAACCAGTCACTGGAATTATGCCCTATAGCATTTTACACCTCCATGATGCTTAAGAAAGAACTGATTAGAATCTTCCAATGGTGCTCCATTGCTTCCAAATCCCAATTCCTTAACAAGGGAATGAAGAACTCGATCTCCTCTACCACCTGGGACCCTCTTCGCTCATCCCAGTCATTCCCTGATGCTATCTAGCAGGAACCCAGCATGGCTGCTACCCCACATGCTGTTTTTGCTCCCAGATCAATGTGGTCTCCTCCTACTGTAGACAGCCCCCTCCTCTCTGCCACCCTTCTTACTGCACATCAACACAGGCAAAGCCCACCTGCAGCCTTCCACCTGTATCTATCTCAGCCCCACACCCACCTCTCTGACCCTACTTCCTATCTTTTCCCATGCTGGCATTTAATCACACTGATATGCATTGGTAATTAACTGTCTGGGGAACCCCAGACACATGTTCCGTAAAAATAATTCCAGAGTAGACATAACAATCCCAGTGTTACAGAGAATCTTGCAGAATCAACAAAATTACAGATCCACTTGCACTTTGTCCTAGTGATCTCACTTCTGGGAATCTATCCTAAAGCTGGACCCAAACCCATTTTAAAATGACCAAATAGTATAATAGGTTATTCGTCACTTACCATTTTTAAAAGCCAAAGATTGGTAAAGAATACACATGTCCAGGCCGGGCACGGTGGCTCAAGCCTGTAATCCTAGCACTCTGGGAGGCCGAGGCGGGCGGATTGCTCGAGGTCAGGAGTTCGAAACCAGCCTGAGCAAGAGCAAGACATTAATTGGCAACTAATATATATATATATAAAATTAGCCGGGCATGGTGGTGCATGCCTGTAGTCCCAGCTACTCGGGAGGCTGAGGCAGCAGGCTTGCTTGAGCCCAGGAGTTTGAGGTTGCTGTGAGCTAGGCTGACGCCACGGCACTCACTCTAGCCTGGGCAACAAGCGAGACTCTGTCTCAAAAAAAAAAAAAAAAAAAAAGAATACACATGTCCATCAACTGCAGATTCATTAAATGAGTATTATTATTAGATCCACAATGGAATCAATATGCAGATATTAAAAAATGAGAAAAATCTCTAGATACTGATATGCAGAGGGCTTGAGAATATATTGTTCAACTTAACTTACTTTACAGCAAGTCGATGTTGCTCAGTAGAGAGGTCTTCAGCTCTTCGACCTAATCCTATGAAAAAGAAAAAATTTAGAAATAAGATGAAGTGAAGTAAATAACTAATTCTAAAAGAGTCTTACCAATGTCAACTGAAAAAGGTAATTTATTTTTGCTTCACATGCCGAGCGTGGTGGTAGCTCATGCCTGTAATCCTAACTCTGTTGGGAGGATTGCTCAAGGTCAGGAGTTCAAAACCAGCCTGAGCAAGAGTGAGACCCCGTCTCTACTAAAAATAGAAATTAATTGGCCAACTAAAAATACATAAAAAAAATTAGCCAGGCTTGGTGGCACATGGCTGTAGTCCCAGCTACTTGAGAAGCTGAAGCAGGAGGATCCCTTGAGCCCAGGAGTTTGAGGTTGCTGTGAGCTAGGCTGACACCATGGCACGCTAGTGAGACTCTGTCTCAAAAAAAAAAAACAAAGCAATCAATTAAAAATAAATAAATAAATATTTTTGCTTCATAAATCATAAAGAGCCCCCATTTTCCATTTTTTAAAAATGCCCTGAATCAAAGAGCTACCCATAAGTACCTATGTGTGAAGGAACATCTCTACAGGTTCATATGGAGAAGGGAGAATTCGGGTCACTCCTATTTAATTCACATGGCATGACACGGACCTCAGAGAGAATCCTCCCTGTCCTGTGGTGGTTCCTTACCCATTTGTATGTGTTTTCATTGCTACATCAGAGAAATAAGCCTGCCTTTCACAGGCTGCCCCAGTTTAAATACTCCCTGATTATGCTGGGTGCAGACACCTGGTACAAGCTGAGCTGATGGGTATGGGATGTAATGGGGAAAGGAATAGGGGGCTTTCCTCTTCTCAGAAACAGAGGAAATGTAACCCCGAGTGCAGGGAAAACATTAAGGAATTATCAGATTTTTCTTCTTTTTCAAAACTCATCCATCACAGAAAAACTCCCAACCAAATCACGTTTGTGCTTCCTATGAAATTTACATGTTAACTAGAGTCAAAGAAACTGAAGTGTTTTCTTAGAAGCAGTAAGTCAACTCTAAAACTGTATATTCAGCTAAGGCTGATTATGGTCACCAACCATGAAGGCAATGCAAAAACATGCCTCAGAGAAGGCAGAGTATTTCTGGAATTTACTTGTTCCTCCCACACACAAGAAAAAAGGCAAACGGCAAATAAACACTTTTCTGCATGTAAGGGATGTTCCAGAAAATACGGTAAACTGAGAATACTTCTAAAAGTAAATTTAGGCAAAAAGTCTGTTTAAAAAAAAAAAAGTCTTAAAAAAAAATCTCAGTCATTTTTTTCCCCAAGATCTCAGCAAACAGTACATCTCCGGTAATCCCAGAAATTAAACTGATTTTAGCCATAAACTGAATTTAGCCATTATGTTGCTTATGTTTGACTATAACCACTGAAACTGGAGTTTCAGTTACAAGTAGGGTGACCAACTCACCCTCATCTGCACAGGACTCCCTGGCTCTGGCACTGAAAGCCACATCCTGTGAAACTTCTCAGTACTGGGCACACTGGGATGTTTGGTTACCTAGGAAAGACTCCTTCCGTGGTATAAAATTACCCAGTTCTCTACAGAATGACTAAATCACCCAGTATGACCTAGGAATACACTGGTGCAAATGAAATTAAATCAGTTCCCAAGCTTAAGGAAAAAAAAAAAAAAAAAAAAAAGCTAGCTGTCAGAGATAAATCGTCTCAACCTGCCGGCAGATAAAGAAATTTCAACAGTCAAAAAAGTGCTTGCCAGAGCAGTACAAATCCACAGAATAGACTTTTGCTAATTGCACCTGGCATCTCTAAAGCCCATTATTGAAATCTGCCGCCCAGCTGAAATAATCTTCTTCCCTTTCCTGGAACCCACTTTGAACAGGGTAAATCATACTTTCTGGTCATTTTTAGGAAGAGCCTGAGTAAAGAAAATGATCAGTTTTACACAAACAGAAGATTCTTCTTTCTCCCAGCTTTTTATAGGGTTAAGCTAATCTCATTAGATAATTTTCCAAGCCAAAAAAAAAAAAGTATCATTAAAAAATGATTAACCAGCCAATGCTATTTTAATCTTTTATGACCTCACGAGCTTCTCAGAGATTAAACCAAGGCAAAAAGGATGCCATTTCCTTTTAATAGATTTGGGGGGGAAAAAGGGCAGAAGAGTGTCACAAATTAAATTTAAAACATCGTAAAGATAAACAGAAAACTCACTGTTCTCAGTGCAAATATTTCAGCAAATTCAGACTGCAGATTCAGCAGGGAAGAAGTGATTAATAGCTGGGAAAGGCCTGGAAATTTTGAACAAAATAAAGAAAAACCTGCCAGCACTCATCTAAACTCTGGCCTGTGTGTACAGTATAAACAGAAGAACTCTGAATATCAGGCTCACACTGAGAGCCGAAAGGAGGGCGGTTTTTCTCACCATCATGAACTTGGAATGCCAAGGTTGTGATCTTCTGAGTGACAATCATCAGAGGCCTACAAGGAAGAAAGAAAATAATCAAGACTGGCAAAAATGCCATGGGAAGAAACATTGATATTATATTTCTCCGGATGGTGGTTCTTCATCTTGAAGTTTAATAAATAAAGTACAAAAACACTGAATTCAAAAGACACAATGTTTATTTCCCTTCCAAATCACTTCGTATAAGTAGATATAACAACACTGAATAACAAGCTCACACTAGGACAGTGTGTCGTGTCCTGTCACTCAAAACGTGGCCCCAGGACCACACCACCAGCATCTCCAGGAGCTTGTTAGAGATGCAGCATCTCAAGCTCCACTCTAGACCTACAAGATGATAATCCGCATTTTAACAACATCGCAAGGGAATCTGAACATCCATGAAAGTGTGAGAAGCACTGGCTTGGGAGATACTTAATCCAGTGCTCTGGTTCTACTTGTATGAAAATATACATTAATATTAAAGGCGATTTTTCCAGGCACACAGAGTAAAAGATACATTTGTAAAATGCAGCTGCCTATAACTAAATCATTTATTGGCCAAAAATAACGCCAACCTTAATTTGGAAAAAGCCATTAAACAAAAACTTGCCTAAGAAGTGGTACCCATGTCAACAAGGGTGCCAAGGTAATTCAATGAACAAGAAAAGTTCTTTTTAACAAATGGTAATGGGACAATGAGATGTCTACATGAAAAGAGTACAAAAACCAATTAAAAATGAACCAAATACCTAAATGTAAGAGCTGAAACTATAAAACTCTTTGAAGAAAATGTAGGTGCAAATCTTTATGACCTTAGATTAGGCACCGGTTTCTTAAATGTAACGCCAAAAGCACAAGCAATAAAAGAACAGGTTAAGTGAATGTCATTAAAACTTAAACTTCTATGCTTCAAAGGATATACACCACCAAGAAAGTGAAAAAATATTTCACAGAAATGCAAGAAAATATTTGCAAATCATGTATCTGATAAGGGACTGGTACTAGAATATACAAAGAACTCTTACCTCAATAATACACAAATAACCCAAGTTAAAAATGGCCAAGGAATCTGAATGGATATTTCTCTTAAAAAGATAGGCAAAGCCAGGCACGGCGGCTCATGCCCGTAATCCCAGAACTTTGGGAGGCTGAAGCAGGAGGATTGCTTGAGCCCAGGAGTTCAAGACCAGTCTGAGGCAACATAGCAAAACCCTGTCTCTAAAAACAAACCAAAAAAAACAAACAAAAAAAGATAGGCAAATGGCCCAAAAGTGCATGAAATGATGCATAATGGTAATTAGCTGTCAGAGAAAAGGAAATTAAAACCACAGTGAGACACCACTTCACAAGCACTAGGATAGCTGGAGTCAAAAAGACAGAAAATAACAAGTGCAAACCAAGAAGCGGAGAAACTGGAACCCTTGTACATTGTTGGCAGGAACAGTAAATGATACTGCTTTAGAAACAGTCTGGCAGTTTCTCAAAAGGTTAAACATAGAGTTCCTTGAGGACTCCACAATTCCACAGCAAGGTGTACACCCATGAGAAATGAAAATACGTCTACACAAAACCATGTACATGCATGTTCCTAGCAACATTATTGATAATAGCCCCAAAGAAAGTAGTCCACATGTCCATCAACTCATGAATGGATAAATAAAATGTGGCATGTTCATAGAATAGAATATCATTCAGCAATAAAAATGGATGAAGTACTGACACATATACCACAACAAGGATGGACCTTGAAAACATCATGCCAGGTGAAAGAAGCCAGACACAAAAGATCACGTACCATACGATTCCATTTATATGAAATGTCTGGAAGAGGCAAATCCATAGAAACAGAAAGTAGACTGCTGCTTGCCTAAGGTTGAGGGAATTAGGAAGAAACGAGGAGCGATGGCTAATGCACCTGAGTTCCCTTTGGGGGTGAAGACGATGTAAAATTAATTGTGGTGATGCTAGCCTTTGTGAATTTACTCCGTGAATATGCTAAAAAAAAAAAAAATTGAATTGGACACTTCAAATGGGTGAATTGCAGGGTATGTGAATTCCATCAAAATAAAGCTATCATTTAAAAAGTGGCACCTATTTTGCCAATGGTCTACCCTTGTTCTTTAGTACCTTTTTGTAACTTTAGTAGCTCTATTCTTAAGTGTGTTCAGGCTGCTATAGCAAAATACCATAAACTGGGTGGCTTTTATACAATAGAAATTTGTCTCTCACGGTGGTTGAGGGCCCACTTCCTAGACATATGTCTTTTTGTAACCTCATATGGTAGAAGACCAAAGGAGCTCTCTGGGGCCTCTTTTATAAGGGCACTAGTCCCAAAGGCCCCACCTCTTAATACGATTCTCATGGATGTTAGCTATCCAAGTAAGGATTGCAACATATGAATTTTGGAGGGACACAAACATTCAGGCCATAGCATTGCCCAACAAGACAAGATAAAATCCCACTGCACTGACTACCATACTTTCCTTCAAAATGTTTTTGTGGAGCTTGGCTTTCTGATCTCAATTCTTATGTCTTCTTGCCAGATTTGCTATCTCTGATGGATGATGGATGGCTCAGTTAGATAGATGGCTGAGGCTCTGGTCCATGTCCTAGGACAGCACCCCTGGGATCACCCTGGCATGCCACACACCCCTTATGCCCTGCAGGCCAGGCCCATCTGGGTGGGAGGACAAACCAACTTTTGGCCAAGTCTGATGTGTGTCAACTATACTCATCCATTTCTCTGCGAGTCCACATTCTTGTCTAATTTTCCTCATCCTAATTACCATTTTGCATCTCTTTAAAATTAAGCATGTATTAATATTTTAAACTATAAATATATGCTAATAAGATAAACCCTTTTAAAGAAAGTACCAACAATCTTGCCTCAGAATACATAAAAAAAAAAAAAAAAAAGTACTGGCTGAATGCGGTGGCTCACACCTGTAATCCTAGCACTCTGGGAGGCTGAGGTAGGAGGATCATTTGAGCTCAGGAGTTTGAGACCAGCCTGAGCAAGAGAGAGACCCTGTCTCTATTAAAAAAAAAAAGAAAAAATTAGCCGGACATGGTGGTGCATGCCTTTAGTCCCAGCTACTCAGGAGGCTGAGGCAGGAGGATTGCTTGAGCCCAGGAGTTGGAGGTTGCTATGAGCTAGGCTGACGCTACAGCACTCTAGCCTGGGCAACAGAGTGAGTCTCTGTCTCAAAAATAAAAACATACATACATACCAACAAGTACCCTTTGAAATCTTATCACTGATGGCCAAATTTATGTTATTTGCAATATCTTTATATCTTAAAGCCCAGTGGCCAGTGGTCATCGTCTGAAACAAGACTGCTAATGCTGGGCATACAGCTAAGAGAGGGGCACAGCCTGGCTGTGGAGGAGGGGCAGGAAGGGTGTCTGTGCCCACCAGAACCAGTGAGGTAAGTGTGGCAGACACGGAGGCCAACAAGTCAGTCACTGTACTGTGGCCAGACATGCTCACAGATGACACCTGTTTACACCTCGTTCTTTTATATTAAAAAAAAAAACAAAAACTGCTCTTCCAGAATGCTGAGGTTTTGGTCCTAGCAATAAGGGCGACATTACAGTTACAGCTTTGTATAAGGCCAATCTGGTCTTATAGACCAATACAACTTTGTAGCTCACTCTCTTGACAACAAGACTTCTGACTCAGAATACGTAACAGATACTTAGAGCAATTTTTCTCTAAAGGGACTCTAAGTATCACATTCAAATAATTTCCAAATACCGCCTTCAAAGCACAATAGTTTTCTTTCCAAAGACTTTTTGTTTGCCTTTTTCTGGAGGACTGAAAACCCTAGAAACCAGTCTTCTTTATATAAGGCCCAGCACCGCAATTTTCAAAATTTAAAGCACACTCTCTGGTGACCGTGCTATTTGCAAACCAGGCAAGTTCCTACATTTAATGTATTACTTCAGGAAAGGGCCTAAAAATAGATACATCAATAAAAAGATAAAATGTATCATGGAATTACCCTAACTTTCTGTCCCTGTAGAAGCAGAGTATTTGTTTTCCTCTATCTGGAGTCAGATTTAATGTACTGATGATTAGGCAGCATGTTCAGCAAAATGTTTAGTAAGTCTAATATTCACATATGCTGTAGCCATGAGGATGTGCCACTCTGACCTGCTGCTGGGAGTATACTGGCCCAGCTGCAGTTCTCTGATTCCACCCACCTTCATGCTGAGGCCACGCCTCCCATAGGCTGCTCCCAGCCAATGACTGAGTGCAGCAGGGATATTTACACAGGCCCCGCCCTACGAAATCTGATTCTTTTCCTCCAGGGGAATTTTAGCTCCAGGATTCTCTGCTGAATTTGCCAAAACTTTCTTAGAATTGCACTGCAATCCAAGACCTTTCTTCCATCTCTCCCTCTCTCCTTCTCAGGGGTCAGACCTGCATTTCAATCTGATGGCTCTCCCAGCCTCATCCATTTCCCTCCCCATTTTCCCTGGCTGGCATTTCACCAAACAAATCTCTTCTAAGTCTGTTCCCATCTTGGCATTTGCTTCTTAGAGGATCCAGACTAATGTAATACATAATACTGAATAGCTATAGCAATGTCAATAAATACTAATTATTCAAGAAGAAATCTATACCACTGGGTCCATGTAAAAGCTATATTGTTATAATTCCTTAGAGAAGATATCCTTTTTTGGAAGAAAAAGAAAAGAAGCTATGGATTTGAATATTCCTAAACATGATCTAGACTATGCCTTCAATATGTTGCTTCCGTTTTAAATATCCAGTTTCTAACAATTTAAAAAGAAAACAACTCACACATGTGATTGTGAGTTTATTTTTAAAAATAAACTAGTAACTTATGAAAAAAGCAGATCTAAAGCTACAAACTAGAACTAGAACCTGCTCACTAAAAAGAAGAGAAGGTCGGGTGCAGTGGCTCACGCCTGTAATCTCAGCACTCTGAGAGGCCAAGGCGGGTGGATCATTTGAGCTCAGGAGTTCGAGACCAGCCTAATCAAGAGCAAGACCCCATCTCTA